CTAACAAATTTATTTGGGCATAAGCTTTCGTGGGCTAGAACCCACTTCATCAGATGGATGAAGTAAAAGATACAGGAGGAGGTATAAATACATGAAAGGATGTGGGTTGTTTTACCAAGTGTTAGGTCAGTCTAACGAGATAAGTCAATAAACAGCTGGCTACCAAGGGAGGAGAAATAACTTTTGAAGTGGTAAGAGAGTGGCCCATTACAGACAGTTGACAAGAAGGTGTAAGTATCAGTCGGAAGAAATGAGTATTGGGGAAATTAAGTTTAGGTTTTGTAATGACCCAACCAGTCCCAGTCTTTATTCAGGCCTAATCTGATGGTATCTAGTTTGCAAATTAATTCCAGTTCTGCAGCTTCACATTGGAGTCTGTTTTTGAAGTTTGGTAAAACTTGGTAAACTTCGTAAAACAACCCACATCCTTTCATGTATTTATACCTCCTCCTGTATCTTTTACTTCATCCATCTGATGAAGTGGGTTCTAGCCCACGAAAGCTTATGCCCAAATAAATTTGTTAGTCTCTAAGGTGCCTCACTTTTTTTTGCTGATACAGACTAACACGGATACCACTGAAACCTGAAAAGGAATAGAATCCTTTGAGAAGTTCCTTCTCTAATCTTGTAAAATTAATCTTGTAGTAATAATACTAAAGCAAAAATGGAATAAAGTAAAATGGGCAATGAAATGCAAACATTATTTAACATCGTGATACTGCAACGAGTGCTCAGCAAGCACTGAAATAACCCATCTGCCGGAGAAATGTAGACACCACCAACAGCCTACTCATCTGCTGATGAAAGTCTGTGGCAAAGCTTCCATTGGATTCGTGGGTAGCAGAATCAGGTCCCAAATATGTATTCTTGGTATGAATAACAGATTTTCAAAAGTACCGAAGAAGGGTATGTGCCAAACTCCCACTGATAGTCAATGGAAACTGAGTAGCTAGCACCCTTTGGTTCTTTCGAAAATGGACAGGTAAAGGATCTGAAATCCATGGAATGTACATGTTTCCTTTAGAATGCTCATTCCCTTTTACTTCTTCAGAATTCCGCTAGAATGTGGAAGTTCTGCAAGTTCTGTGCTGTGCCACTGAGGGAATCTACACATTCAAAGGCTTACAAGAGTACTCCCAAATAGGCTATGCCAGTTATCAGTGGTACCCCTCCAAATGTCCATACTCCATGACTACTAAATGGGCTAATGTACAGTACTTATTAGAAATGGATCAGGACCTGAAAATAAAATTCCATCCAAAATGTATGAATTCTCCTTTGGAAAGTGACTTAGCTGTACAATTCTTTCCAAAGTGGTAGACAGAGCACAAGCCCTAGGGGTGGTGTTAATGGGAGGCAGTCACATGGCTACAGCATCGTGTACAGCTCTGAAAAATTTACCTCAATGCATATTTCTGTGACTTATCCATGTCATTTGAATATTATGAAATACTCCAAACCAGGATACCCTTCCTATCAGTCAGCACATCTTGTTTTCCCTCCGCAGCCCTGTTATGATGGAGTTCAGCATGTGGCTGTTTTTATTTTTCATTTTACAGCATTTAAAACCTTAAGGATAAGATTAACCTGCACTTCAGTGCATCTTATCGAAGATTCATGGCACTTGCTGAAATGCCAAGCGTTCTTATTCAAGTCTACATCTCATTAAAATCAGCACTTTATTTACTTGGATGCCATTCTACATGAGTTCATTAGACTTGCTTTAACAGTGTGTATTGGAGTAGGGCTAGAGCTAGTCTCTATTCTCAGACCCTCCTTGAGCTTGGGGAAGGATCAGAAAAACAAAACCCAAATCTGCCCAGAAGAGCCTGAAAGTTTATACAGACAGATAAAATCATAGAAGATCAAGGTTGGAAGGGACCTCAGGAGGTCATCTAGTCCAACCCCCTGCACAAAGCAGGACCAATCCCCAATTTTTTGGCCCAGATCCCTAAATGGCCCCCTCAAGGATTGAACTTACAACCCTGGGTTTAGCAGGCCAATGCTCAAACCACTGAGCTATCCCTCCCCCCAAGATATACAGGTACACCAGCAGTCCAGACAAAATGGGGAGGAGACACGACAGGCATGGAGATCAATGTTGAAAGTTACTCAAAGAAATACATCTGGAGAAGGCTTTGCAAAAGAAGCAGGAGGATATCTGTGCACAGGATTTAGAGAGCTGCTTCAAGTGCAGCGCTGGCATGAAGGGGACAAAGGGAGTGGCCAGGAAAAAAGACTGTGCACAAAACAGAGAACCAAAGGGAAAGCTAGTGGAAAAGAAAGCAGAAATATACATGGGCACATATAGATATGATTGAAGCATTAGCTGCCATTGATTTGCTCCTGATCCATCCAGTCTGGCTTCCACGCTCTTTAATCTGTACTCACCAAGGTCATAGTAACTTCTTCCTGGCCAAGTCTCCAGGCCTCATCTTCCTTCATTTCTCTGCAGCATATGACTTTTCTCCCACTCATGGACATCCTGCGGACTCCTGGTTCTCTCCCAATATCTCCTGTGGCTCTCTCAGCATTTTTGACAGCAGTTCCTCTTCCTCCCCATGTCCCTTTCCAAAGGAATCTCTCAGTGCTTAAATCCCCTCCTTTTCTCCAGGTGATCTAAGTTGCCCCAGGGGCCACTCTGGAGTAGCCCAGAATTGGGACAGCACAAAGGTGTCTTAAAGCAACCTGACCCCTCTCTTTGGCAGGCTGCAAGTTTTGTGCTGTGCCTCTGAGGGAATCTACACCACCTCACCGCAGGTGTCCCTCTGCTCAGGAATGATTCCACATAATGGGGAACATAGGCCAGAGCAGAAACCTCTGAACTGGGCCAATGAGAGTCTATAACTTTCTAAAACAATACCTCCCGGGGAGCCACCAAGCAATGTGCTGCAGCCTCCTACAATAACCACACATTAATGACAGCTTTTTATCTTTTGCCAGCATAGCACACCAATGTGAAAAGCATGCTGTGATTGGCCAAGAATCTCTCTCTCTTCAAATCCATCATACCAGCATGTCCTGCCTGCACTCAGAAGAGTTCTAACAAAGAAAGTCAAACAAACAAATTACAAACAGAAGGTGATGGGTCAAACTTTAGCACAGGGGCACTGGCATACTTCTCAACCCCTGGACTCTGCAAGGAGGGACCAGTGACCCTCAAAATAAGTGGCAATGAGGGACACTACTCTTTGAAAACAGGGGCACAGAGAAGGACATCCTATTCTTTATTACACACACTTTTTTATTAAAAGCATTTATGTGCAAGCATGTAAATAGCCTGGAATTTATCATAATGAAACTAAACAATGATTCTGTGTACTAAAAGCATTCTTTTTGTAGAAAGTCTCTATTTACAGTAAAATAAAAATTCCATTTACTGTAATGCTCATTGTTGTGTTTTGTGTCAGAAACCCCATCACTCCTCCCGCAACAGATCTCCCCACTGCTGCAGCCTGGCCTAGTCCCCAGCAGCCTCCATGTGCTTTCTCAGCTGCATACTGCCCCAGAAGGAAGCAGGGAGGAGGCACTGTTGCTTGCAGCAGGGGAGGAGAAGGTATCCACCACTGCTGCCGACAGTGATTGTGTCCAGGTGCCAAAGTGGGATTTTGCTAAGGCAATGAGAGACCTCTGGACAACTGTAAAACCTGGGGCCAGATGTGGGATGTCCCACACCATGCAGGACACTTGAGAGGTAGTGTCCCTCCAGAGGCAGGGATGAAGAAGAGCTGACAGGCAAGAAGAAAAAAACGAAAACCAGAAATGTTATCCCAAGTCCAGTGGATTAACCATAAAGCTGGGATCTGGGAAGTCTGGAGTTCTGTCCCCACTTCTGCTGCTGACTGGCTTTAATAAAAGATCATACTTCTGTAGCACTTTGCTCACCTTTTACAACACCACTGAACATTATACAAACATCATTCAACCCTTCTGCCTCAGTATTCCCATTTGTAAACTGGGTACAATATTGAACGAGGGTGAAATCTAAAAACATACAACTCATATTATGTCCACAACTATGTAGGTTGGTATCATTAGCCTTATTTTACCACCTTGGAACCTGAATCTCAGAAAGGGTCCATCTACATGGTCCCATTGCAGTCTGGCAGCTCAGGGAAGGATAGTCACTAAAACTCAATCCATCTCTCAGGATCATCCCATCCAAACACCACAGCCCTGCAGCAGAAGAGCATGTTTTGAATTGTGATGGAGAACAACAGCACTTACTCCCACAGACCAAAAGTATTTTCCCTTTGTTTCCATGAAATTGGATGAAGTCACTCTCACCTGAACATGTTGAGGTAAGACCAGGGGTAAGCATCGAGAAGCAGCCAGTAAGAGTCTTCATAGGAGGTGTGAGTAGCTGCTTAATGAGGGGAATAACTAGTAAAGGGCCTCAGATTCAGGAGAAACAATGTGGATTCCGTCCTAGCCATGGAACAATGGACCAGCTCTTTGCTGTCTCACAGATTTTGAGGGGTTGTGGGAGTTTGATAATCCAGTCTACCTTTGTTTTGTACACCTGGAGAAGGCATATGACTGTGTTCTTCAACATATCTTGTGGGAAGTGCTGTGGGAGTATGAGTTGCCAGTGCCACTTTTGTGTGTTATCCGGTTCCTCTATTCTCAGAGTGAGAGTTGAGTTCGTATTCTTGGCATTAAGTCGAGTTTGTGCAAGGTGAGCATTGGACTCTGCCACGGGTGCATCTTGTCCCCACTCCTGTTAATGATTTTCATGGACAGGATATCAAGGAGCGGCCAAGCTGTGGGGTGTAGCCAGTACAGGGACTCGGAGGTGGCATCTCTGCTGTTTGCAGCTGATGTTGTCCTTGCTTCTTCAAACTGTGATCTCTGACGCTCACTTGAACGTTTCACTGCCGAGTGTGAAGCGGTTGGGATGAGAATCAGCACCTCCAAATCTCCTGAAAGAAAGTGGACTGTTCTCTCCAGGTGAGGGGGGGAGCAGCTGCTCTTTGTGGACGAGTTCAAGTATCTAGGCCCTGGTCTACACTAGGACTTTAGGTCGAATTTAGCAGCGTTAAATCGATGTAAACCTGCACCCGTCCACACAATGAAGCCCTTTATTTCGACTTAAAGGGCTCTTAAAATCGATTTCCTTACTCCACCCCTGACAAGTGGATTAGCGCTTAAATCGACATTGCCGGCTCGAATTTGGGGTACTGTGGACACAATTCGATGGTATTGGCCTCCGGGAGCTATCCCAGAGTGCTCCATTATGACCGCTCTGGACAGCACTCTCAACTCAGATGCACTGGCCAGGTAGACAGGAAAAGAACCGCGAACTTTTGAATCTCATTTCCTGTTTGGCCAGCGTGGCAAACTGCAGGTGACCATGCAGAGCTCATCAGCACAGGTGACCATGATGGAGTCCCAGAATCGCAAAAGAGCTCCAGCATGGACCGAACGGGAGGTACGGGATCTGATCGCTGTTTGGGGAGAGGAATCCGTGCTATCAGAACTCCGTTCCAGTTTTCGAAATGCCAAAACCTTTGTGAAAATCTCCCAGGGCATGAAGGACAGAGGCCATAACAGGGACCCGAAGCAGTGCCGCGTGAAACTGAAGGAGCTGAGGCAAGCCTACCAGAAAACCAGAGAGGCGAACAGACGCTCTGGGTCAGAGCCCCAAACATGCCGCTTCTATGATGAGCTGCATGCCATTTTAGGGGGTTCAGCCACCACTACCCAGCCATGTTGTTTGACTCCTTCAATGGAGATGGAGGCAATACGGAAGCAGGTTTTGGGGACGAAGAAGATGATGAGGAGGAGGAGGTTGTAGATAGCTCACAGCAAGCAAGTGGAGAAACCGGTTTTCCCGACAGCCAGGAACTGTTTCTCACCCTAGACCTGGAGCCAGTACCCCCCGAACCCACCCAAGGCTGCCTCCTGGACCCAGCAGGCGGAGAAGGGACCTCTGGTGAGTGTACCTTTTAAAATACTATACATGGTTTAAAAGCAAGCATGTGAAAGGATTACTTTGCCCTGGCATTTGCGGTTCTCCTAGATGTAGTCCTAAAGCCTTTGCAAAAGGTTTCTGGGGAGGGCAGCCTTATTGCGTCCTTCATGGTAGGACACTTTACCACTCCAGGCCAGTAACATGTACTCGGGAATCATTGTAGAACAAAGCATTGCAGTGTATGTTTGCTGGCATTCAAACAACATCCGTTCTTTATCTCTCTGTGTTATCCTCAGGAGAGTGAGATATAATTCATGGTCACCTGGTTAAAATAGAGTGCTTTTCTTCAGGGGACACTCAGAGGAGCCCATTCCTGCTGGGCTGTTTGCCTGTGGCTAAACAGAAATGTTCCCCGCTGTTAGCCACAGGGAGGGGGGAAGGTTGAGGGGGTAGTCACGCGGTGGGAGGAGGCAAAATGCGACCTTGTAACGAAAGCACATGTGCTATGTATGTAATGTTAACAGCAAGGTTTACCCTGAAAGAGTGTAGCCACTGTTTTATAAAATGTGTCTTTTTAAATACCGCTGTCCCTTTTTTTTTCTCCACCAGCTGCATGTGTTTCAATGATCACAGGATCTTCTCCTTCCCAGAGGCTAGTGAAGCTTAGAAAGAAAAAAAAACGCACTCGTGATGAAATGTTCTCCGAGCTCATGCTGTCCTCCCACACTGACAGAGCACAGACGAATGCGTGGAGGCAAATAATGTCAGAGTGCAGGAAAGCACAAAATGACCGGGAGGAGAGGTGGAGGGCTGAAGAGAGTAAGTGGCGGGCTGAAGACAGGGCTGAAGCTCAAATGTGGCAGCAGCGTGATGAGAGGAGGCAGGATTCAATGCTGAGGCTGCTGCAGGACCAAACCAGTATGCTCCAGTGTATGGTTGAGCTGCAGCAAAGGCAGCTCGAGCACAGACTGCCACTGCTGCCCCTCTGTAACCAACCGCCCTCCTCCCCAAGTTCCATAGCCTCCACACCCAGACGCCCAAGAACGCGGTGGGGGGCCTCCGGCCAACCAGCCACTCCACCACAGAGGATTGCCCAAAAAAAAGAAGGCTGGCATTCAATAAATTTTAAAGTTGTAAACTTTTAAAGTGCTGTGCTTAAAGTGCTGTGTGGCATTTTCCTTCCCTCCTCCACCACCCCTCCTGGGCTACCTTGGTAGTCATCCCCCTATTTGTGTGATGAATGAATAAAGAATGCATGAATGTGAAGCAACAATGACTTTATTGCCTCTGCAAGCGGTGATTGAAGGGAGGAGGGGCGGGTGGTTAGCTTACAGGGAAGTAGAGTGAACCAAGGGGCGGGAGGTTTCATCAAGGAGAAACAAACAGAACTTTCACACCGTAGCCTGGCCAGTCATGAAACTGGTTTTCAAAGGTTCTCTGATGCGTACCGCGCCCTCCTGTGCTCTTCTAACTGCCCTGGTGTCTGGCTGCGCGTAACCAGCAGCCAGGCGATTTGCCTCAACCTCCCACCCCGCCATAAACGTCTCCCCCTTACTCTCACAGATATTGTGGAGCACACAGCAAGCAGTAATAACAGTGGGAATATTGGTTTCGCTGAGGTCTAAGCGAGTCAGTAAACTGCGCCAGCGCGCCTTTAAACGTCCAAATGCACATTCTACCACCATTCTGCACTTGCTCAGCCTGTAGTTGAACAGCTCCTGACTACTGTCCAGGCTGCCTGTGTACGGCTTCATAAGCCATGGCATTAAGGGGTAGGCTGGGTCCCCAAGGATACATATAGGCATTTCAACATCCCCAACAGTTATTTTCTGGTCTGGGAATAAAGTCCCTTCCTGCAGCTTTTGAAACAGACCAGAGTTCCTGAAGATGCGAGCATCATGCACCTTTCCCGGCCATCCCACGTTGATGTTGGTGAAACGTCCCTTGTGATCCACCAGAGCTTGCAGCACTATCGAAAAGTACCCCTTGCGGTTTATGTACTCGGCGGCTTGGTGCTCCGGTGCCAAGATAGGGATATGGATTCCGTCTATAGCCCCACCACAGTTAGGGAATCCCATTGCAGCAAAGCCATCCACTATGACCTGCACATTTTCCAGGGTCACTACCCTTGATATCAGCAGATCTTTGATTGCGTGGGCTACTTGCATCACAGCAGCCCCCACAGTAGATTTGCCCACTCCAAATTGATTCCCAACTGACCGGTAGCTGTCTGGCGTTGCAAGCTTCCACAGGGCTATCGCCACTCGCTTCTCAACTGTGAGGGCTGTTCTCATCTTGGTATTCATGCGCCTCAGGGCAGGGGAAAGCAAGTCACAAAGTTCCATGAAAGTGCCCTTACGCATGCGAAAGTTTCGCAGCCACTGGGAATCGTCCCAGACCTGCAACACTATGCGGTCCCACCAGTCTGTGCTTGTTTCCCGAGCCCAGAATCGGTGTTCCACAGCATGAACCTGCCCCATTAGCACCATGATGCATGCATTGGCAGGGCCCATGCTTTCAGAGAAATCTGTGTCCATGTCCTGATCACTCACGTGACCGCGCTGACGTCGCCTCCTCGCCCGGTATCGCTTTGCCAGGTTCTGGTGCTGCATATACTGCTGGATAATGCGTGTGGTGTTTAATGTGCTCCTAATTGCCAAAGTGAGCTGAGCGGCCTCCATGCTTGCCTTGGTATGGCGTCCGCACAGAAAAAAGGCGCGGAACGATTATTTGCCGTTGCTCTGATGGAGGGAGGGGCGACTGACGACACGGCTTACAGGGTTGGCTTCAGGGAGCTAAAATCAACAAAGGGGGTGCCTGTACATCAAGGAGTATTTCAGGCAGGACTGCACGGAGGGTTCCAATAAGAAATGGTGCACCTAAGTTATTGTTCTTATTGGAACAAGGAGGTTAGCCTGGCCTCTGACTGATACATGCCTAGATTTACCTCGCTGCACCTTCTCTGTTAGTGACTGCAGTGCGACCTAGAGGAATGAGTCCCCTAGACAGGGGAGGAGGCAAATGAGTACAAAACAAATCTGGTCTATTTCTTGTTTTGATCCACTCCATCTATCTTTTACATCTTTGGCTGGCAGCAGACGGTGCAGATGGACTGCATGCCATCCACATCTCATGGCTGCTCGGCAGAAGATGGTACAGTACGACTGCTAGCAATCCTCATCTCTTGCCTGCCTGGCAGAAGATGGTACAATACGACTGCTAGCAGTCCGTATCGCCTGCCCGCTCACCATAAGACGGTTCAATAGGACTGACTGCAGGACTAAAGAGAATGACCTGGTCAAGTCACTCCAAATTTAGTCCCTGCGCCCATGTCTGCCCAGGCGCTCCCAGCCGACATGGCCAGGAGCACCTCGGACACGACGAGGACGACTACCAGTCGTATTGCACCGTCTGCTGCCAGAAGGCAATGGGTTGCTGCAACTGTGCAGCAAAGCTGTACCGCGTCTGCCAGCACCCAGGAGACACAGGGTGACGGTTACCTGAGCGGGCTCCATGCTTGCCGTGGTATGGCGTCTGCACAGGTAACTCAGGAAAAAAGGCGCGAAATGATTGTCTGCCCTTGCTTTCACAGAGGGAGGGAGGGAACGGGGGCCTGACGATATGTACCCAGAACCACCCGCGACAATGTTTTAGCCCCATCAGGCATTGGGATCTCAACCCAGAATTCCAATGGGCAGCGGAGACTGCGGGAACTGTGGGATAGCTACCCACAGTGCAACGCTCCGGAAGTCGACTCTAGCCTCGGTACTGTGGAAGCGCTCCGCCGAGTTAATGCACTTGATGCACTTAGAGCATTTTCTGTGGGGACACAAACACTCGAATATATAAAACCGATTTCTAAAAAACCGACTTCTATAAATTCGACCTTATTCTGTAGTGTAGACATACCCTCGCGGTCTTATTCACGAGTGATGGCAAGCGTGAGCGTGAGGTCAACTGGCAGATTGGTGTGGCAGCGATGCAGACACTGTACCAATCTGTGGTGGTGAAGTGGGAGCTGAGTTTTCAGACGAAACTCTCTGTTTATAGGTCATTCTACGTCCCAGCCTCACTTATGGTCATGAACTTTGGGTAATAACCGAAAGCACGAGATCGCAAGTACAAGCAGCCGAAATGAGGTTTCTCTGCAGGGTAGCTGGGCTTACTCTCTGAGACAGGGTGAGGAGCTCGGCTATGCAGGAGGGCCTTGGAGTACAGCCATTATTCCTCCAGATCAAGGGGAGCCAGTTGAGGTGGTTTTGGCAGCTGGTAAGGATGCCCCCTGGAAGGCTTCTGTTGGAACTCTACCAGGCACATCCCACTGGGCAGAGGCCCTGAGGCCAACCCAGCGCACCCTGGAGGGATTATATCTCCTGGATGGCCTGGCAACACTGCGGAATCCCCCAGGAGGAGATGAAACCTGTTGTGGAGGAAAGGGAGGTCTGGTTCTCCCTACTCTTCATGCTGCCACCACGACCCTCACCAGGAAAAGCGTCATAAAGGAAAAAGAAGAAGGGCCGGAGAGTGTTGGCAAAAGATATGAGGGAGAGAAATGGGCCTGATTTTGTTTACACTTATACTGATGTAAATCAGTTAAGTAAATGGAGATACACCGATAAAATAGGTGTAAGCAAGAGGATAATTAGAATTCATGTTATGGTTTGTTGTTTATCTTGGTGCATTAGGTATCTCCAAAGGGGTTTTCTCTCCACATATTAATCTGTTTTTGTAATTGATAAGACATAGGGCTGAAACCTAAGCATGAGTGCTGTAAATTAATATTACCACTCTGTTTCCAAATCAAATGGCACTTGCTCTCACCCCACTGAAATATTTAAGACAGCTTGTTAAAATTTAAAAATGTTAAAATTTTTTATTTCATTCCACATTGAGGGGTACATGCAACATTTTCCCCAAGTAGCAGAACTTAAGAGGTGACAACTGCACAGTGCAGAGAGCTCTCCAGGAATGAGGTGGTAGAAAGCTCTTCTGCCCTACTTGCAGTATTCCTGTAGATTACAACAGGAAAACTGGTTGTTACAAACATCTGGTCAATACAACACATAAATCAAGGTGGATCAAGCTTTCAAAATGTTGCAGAACTGTTGCCAGAAAAAAAAGGACTATTCAGCATTTGTTGGTTACTTCTTCTGCACAGCAGGAACCCCATGCTGAGCTGCTCAAACTGACTGAGAACGATATCCTGGCAATTATTCCAATTAATTTCCTGGATCAACCAACACAGAAGTTATACTTGGGAAATACTCTTTATGAAAATATCAGCCTCATCACTACAGCTCAGTTGTGACTCTTGTCTTTGCCTGCACTTTTTCAAAAGCCACAAAGCAGATCTCAAGATTATTTAATAACATAGGACTTTTTTATTTTATGCAATGAAACAAATTATGCTAAGGACAGGTGTGTTGAATGAAGAGGGGGTAGCTCCTTTTATGGACACCGAACCAGCCAGTTAGCTATAAAGTCCCTCTTGGTGGCTGTTCTCTGCTTGCTTTACCTGTAAAAGGTTAACAAAGTCCCCCAGGTAAAAAAAAGGAGGGGGGCACCTGACCAAAAGAGCCAATGGGAAGGCTAGAACTTTTTAAAATTGGGAAAGAAGCTTTCCCTTTGTGTCTGTGGTTGTTCTCCGGAGAGCGGAGACACAGAGCAGCAATGCTGTATGCAGCTTTAAGCCTGGTATGATCATAAATCATCAGATCATATCTAGAACTACTTTTCTGATCTACTTACACATTTGGGAGTTCCAGATATGTTTAGAAAGATGTGATTAGGGTTATTTCTGTTTATTTCTTATGGCTAATGGACTCCTCTGTGCTTAATCAGATATTTTTGTTTGCTTGGAACCTTTAAGCTGAACCCCCAAGAAAGCTATTTTGGGTGCCTAATTTTTGGAATTGCTCTTTTAAACTTTAGCAAAAGCCTAAGTTCCAGATGTACTTTCTTTCTTTTTTGTTTTTAATAATATTTACCTTTTTTAAGAACAGGATTGATTTTTTGGTGTCCTAAGAGGTTTGTGCATGTTGTTTGATTAGCTGGTAGCAACACCTAATTTCCTTTGTTTTCTTTCTCAGCTCTTCCCTGGAGGGGTGTGTGTGAAAGGGCTTGAGCGTACCCCACAGGAAGGAATTCCCAAGTGCTCCTTCCTGGGTCCAAGGGATTTTTTTGCATTTGGGTGGTGCCAGCGTTTACCAAGCCAAAGTCGGAGAAAAGCTGTAACCTTGGTT